GAGCCCACCTGCGCCGCCATGGAGGCCGCGGTGCGCGCCGGTGGCGCCTGTCTCGTCTACTGCAAGAACGGCCGCAGCCGCTCGACCACCATCTGCACCGCCTACCTTATGCGTCACCGCGGCCTCAGCCTGGCGCGGGCCTTCCAGGTGGGGCGGGACTTCCGGGCGGGACAGATTTCCGGCGAGATGAGGCGGGACCTTCCGGGAAGGGGTCCTTCGAGACCGGCGGAGACTGCTGGGAGGGGCGCGGCTCCGTGAGGGGCGGGGCCTCTGGGAGGGGCGGGCCCGCACTCGGGGGCGGGGCCTCCGGGCACCGGAGGCGTCTGCGGAACCGGCAGCGAGCGCTGCGCGGTGTCTAGCCGGACCCTCTCGCTTGCAGACCGTGAAGAGCGCCCGCCCAGTGGCCGAGCCCAACCCGGGTTTCTGGTCGCAGCTCCAGAAGTACGAGGAGGCCCTGCAGTCCCGGTCCTGCCAGCTCGGGGAGCTCTCGGGCCCGAGTGAGTCCTAGTCGGTCCGCCCAGCCCCAAGAAGGGCGCTTGGAGTTTCCTGCCGCCTCGGGGTGGAAAGAGGTACACAGACGAGAGGGTGGTCTTTCCTCTCCTGCCGCACGCCCCACACACGGAGTTTTCATTTTGTGCAACTTCCCGAAGGCCTCTGTCCCCTCTTGACGTTTGTCAAGTGCAAGGGTGTGTCCACCGAGAACTGGGAACCGTTCCTCCCCTGGTCAGCAAATTTATTAGAAAGGACTTGGTCGAGAAGGTGAAAACCACTTGGGGAATTGTAGCCAGAAAGACACTTACTACAGAGAGATGGAGGCCGGGGAGCCAACGTCAGCAGGAGGGGAAGTACAGCAATCACGGAGACCCGCCGCCCTGAGCCCGGCTGCCTTCAGCTCTGATGCGGGCGGCTCTGGGAGGACACCTACGGCTGCTGGCAGAACGTCGCGCCTGCTACCTGCTCGAACCATAGTGGCTTTCCCAAAGCTCACACGGGCCCCCTTACAGAAACCAGCACGGGCTCCAGCCAGCGAGGGCCCAGTTTCTAGACTTAAACCTGCTGCAGACACGCAGGTGAGGTCGCGAGGCTGTGACAGATCACCCAGCATGGACACCCTTGGGGCTGTCAGAGTCTGTACCCACCTTACTGACCTCCCAGTCTCAACCACAGCACTGAGCCCCGGCCTAACAGCCTGCAGCCATGGGCATGCCAGCGATGCACTAACCACGGTGTGTCTGAGTATGCTGACCCCTCTTGTGGTTCAGAGGCAGCTCATCTGGACATCCTACAGCCTAAAGACTATCCTAGAAAATTAATCACAGTAAACACTCCTTAAATAAGATGTGGAGAAATTAGGTAATACGTGAGTTACAGATAATACAGTCCCTGGTTAATATATACAAATACACATGTAACAAGATAATGAGTAAAACACTGTAGCTGGTGTTTATCGTCTGCCTTTACCCGCAGCCAGTGCCTCGGGTCCTGGTCTCTCCTGCTGGGCTGACTCCAGCCTGCACCCTGAAGCGTGGCCCTGCCTGCACTGGTGCTGTGACCTCCGTGACCCCCGCACACAACCCGGCAGTGCTGGCAGTAATGAGGAAAATGTCCTGGCTTCCACACACTCCTCCTGGCCCCGCTGAGCAGTGGCAAAGCCCCGCTGCCCCTTAGAAGTCAGGGTCAGTCACCCCATCCAACAGAGTAACCCCTGACTTGCCTGAAGCTGAGGGGCCTGAGGAGTCCCAGACAAATGGCGTCTCAGCCTCCCATCCAGGTGGGAGTGAGGCCCTCTGACCCAGTAGAGCCCAAAGTTGTGGGGATGGGAAGTTCACACTTGGTGAGGCACTGGGGTGGTTGTGAAAGGGCCTCCTCCTCCCCAACCCTCTTGCTCCTGCACCTGGGTTTCCAGCTGGGATGGGAATGACACCATCCACTGGTCCCTGGCTCAGAGCATAAACACCTTGTCGGTCAGCACCCAGCCCTGTGCAATGTCACCAGTCAGCAATCCCCATCCCCAAGAGCCCCAGCCCTGCTCATAACTCGACTGCAGCTCATAGTGGTTAATCCAACTTTTACCACCTTACCCCTGGTAGCACGTGTCACTTTTTCATCAGCCCCATGAGTGAGCTGCTGCCAGTGTCTCTCCACTTGGCAGGTGAGGCTCCAGTGGCTCCATCTGTAACCTCAGGTGAGCTGAGCAGTTGGCCCAGCTAGGAGGTCAGGAGCCAGGACCAAAGCCCAGATTTGCATGCTCACAGCACCTTTGCTGGCAAACCCCTGACCTGCTGACCTGGTCCTGGGTGGCAAATGTGCAAGGATGGCAGAGCCTCGGCCAGGGTGAAAGACATCTGTGGGTCACATCAGCTTTCTATCCCACTAGCTCCCTTCTGAGAACCATCCAATTTCGGTTCCCACCAGAGGCCCAGGTATCCCTAGGACCTCTGTCCCAGAGACAACACAGTACCTACCTGAACTCCATGGGCTTCCGGGAAGCCCTCCTGCCTCTGTGCCCACGTGCTAGCAGGTGAGGCCAGGGACCCACTCCCCTCCCTGGTGTCAGCCCACTTGAATAGGGCCACCCAGTCCACGTGTATCAGGGGGAGGCTGGGGTGTCAGCTGCACCAGGCCAGCCAGGATTTGATCATCGAGAGGCTGGTGTGTGAAATTCCTTTGGGAGAAATCCCAGCCTCTGGCAGTCTCGACTCTCGGGGTCCTCTCCCCTAGGTAGACTGGGGCCAGGAGAGAGGACAACCCTGCCCGTACATCCGCCCTGGACCTCTGTCAGCAAGACAGCGCCCACCCCACCCCCAACACTGAAGGCACTGTCCTCGACAGGGACCAGGTGGAGAGTGGAGACAACCACTGCGGGCTTCACGGTTCACAGTGCTTTGGCAGGCTGGCTCTGACACTGAGAACAGATCTCTTTGCTCCTTCAACATTGGCTTGTGTTGGTCCTTTATAAAAACGTGGGGTGGAAGACAGCAGCACCCCAGGGGGGAAGTGGCAACAGCTTCTCTGGACCTGCAAGACTGCCCTTCTCCACCCCTCCGGTGTGCAGAGCTGGCCACTGGGAGATGCCCAGGGTCCTCCAGGAGAGAAGGGATGAGACCCAACCCTGCTCCCCCAAGTCCCAGAGACCAGGAGGGCAAGAAGCCCTTGATGTTAACCTACCCTGAGTGTGCAGGCAGCTGGTAGACCCGCTTGAGGGTGGCTAGGGCAGGCCACTGTGGGTGTCCACATGCAGTCCAGACGGTGTTCTTCCAGCCCGAGCCCCACTGGCAGGGGGCAGGGGAAGGCTCTAAAAGGCTGGTCAAACTGAGAATGCCATCTAAAACACTCAGCCTGTGGCACCTGGGCAGGTACGGGGCTACCCAAAGCCATCAAGGACTTATCGGACCCTAGCTCTCTCCTCTCTCGAGTCCTGGATGCAGGACTGAGCTCCCTCCTCCAGTTTGGGGTAGGGGTCATAGGGAAAACTGAAGAGATGCTTCAGTGCACATGCTCCGCCCGAATCAATGAACACGCGTCCTCCCACTTAGCCATCCTTCCCACCCCGCCCCGACCCCACGGAGGAGGGCAAGCAGGGTCACATGGATTACAGATGGGGATACTGAGTCCAGAAGGTCTAAACAGTACTCAGGGATGACACAGAGGTCGAGTGCAGGGTGACTCCTGCCCCACACTCTACCAGACAGTGATTAAGCAGTGAGAGGAGTGTGTGGGGTTACAGGCCAAAAGCCCCTTCTCCTTGAGGACCTGAATTCTCATATGATGATGACAGCAACATCTCAGTGGCCCCTCTCATGCCATGGCTTTGATATCCACCTGAAGCTAGCTCTTTGGACATCCTCACTGGTCTGCAGCCACCCCCTCTGGGCCCAGTTCTCTGGACAGGCCTGGGTGAGTGGGCTGGGGTCAGGCAGGCCAAGGCTGATTACTGCCCAGCACTCTCCTCCTACACCATCTTCCTCCAGGGCCCTGCCAGCCCTTAAGGCAGCACAGTCCAGCAGAATTTTCTACTATGGGAGGATATCTGCTCCTGTTGAATATGGTTGCCAGTAGCCGGACACTACCGTCCAAACACACATGGAGACTTTGAAATACGGCTAGTGCAACTGAGGAGCTGCGCTAATTCTATTTGAATCTAAGCAGCCACACTTATCTTAAGGCTCCGGAGCGCCAGCACGCCCTATTCGGCATATAACACAGACCACTGCTCTCACAGGGGAGTGGGTGGGGTATATGGAAAGCATTCCCAGGGCCTGAGGCTCCCGAATGTACTAGTAACATTGAATTCCCGACGCCACACTTCCCAGCTTCCCTGCCCCAGGCGCCCCAGCAGTCGCTGCCCCAGGAACCTGGCCTGTAGCATCCCTGGGGGATCCGTCGTCCTGACTTCTGGGGTCTCCCGAGTGCGGGCCACCTGGGTAGGAAGCACACAGGGCTGCGGAGACCTCTCAGCCACGCACACCCCGGCCGCAGTGCGTCCCCAGACCCTGCGAACAACAGCCCCCGGGCTCCTGCCTCCCCGACCCCCCGCCCACCCCCAGCACAGCACTGGGGGCCATCTGCACACAGTAACTCCGGCCGCGCACCCCGGCTCCCCCTCCCAGCCTAACTCACACCGCCCCGGCCCCGCGCAGAGCTCCTCCAGCTCCCACCCTGCCAGCACAGCGTCCCCCGGGTCCCCTGTCTCCGGGC